CTCCAGGGAGAAATTTTAACTTTCTATCATTTTTTAAGAAAACAACCTTTAGAGCAAAATGGGAAAAAAAATAGGCTTGTTACTTTTTCTTTTCTTTTCTCTGACTACTGTAAATATTTAAAAACCTTTCTGTGGACAGATGGGAGGTGCCTTGCTTGCTGGGACCCTGTTACAAACACAGAGCAGTCATTCCAGTTAACTTTCCCTGTTGTTTGGGCCTGGGGCCCATCTTCTGTGTAGTGGGAACTGGCCTGGAAGGCGACTAGCTGACTTGGCACATTCTGTAGTCGGAGCGAGGACTAGGGTTTCTGCACTGAGTTAGGCAACCCTGGAAAGGGCTAGGAATTTGCAACCAGGATATGCTGTTGAGAATCTTGGCATTCTTTGAGATTTAGCCTGCCCACAAAGTCTCCTTCCATTTCTCTGTAAGGGGCCTGGGCATTGCTAGGGTTTGTGTTTTTAAAGATAAGATTTAAGTTTTTAAAAAGTTGAAAAAGTTGTATTAGAAAATACATAATCATAGTATACCATTTAGTTCAATGGTGAACAATCATCTACATCCTCATAAAACTTGAGACATTGATTTTTAAAATATGCATGTCATTTTTATTAGTGAGTATTCATTATACTTGGTACTGGGTTATATAAGGACATTTTCATCCAGGCATGTAATACATTTTGAATGTATTACTCTCATACGCCACTGCACACACACCCCTGGATAGTTCTTTCACTTTCTTTTTTATTATTATTATTCCTTTCATTTACATGTCTGTATGAGGGGAAGGTACCTGAGGAGGCCAAGAGAGGGCGTTGGATCCCTTGGAGCTGGAGTTACAGGCGATTGTGAACAGCCCCATCTGGGTGCTGTAATAGGGCCGCATGATATCGTAGCAAGTGCCCTTTTAACTGCTGAGCCATCTCTCCCTCTCTTTAACTTTCCTGCCATTTCTTGGAGCTGCCTCATTCTACCACAGGCAAGAAGAGCAAGTGTCCAGCTTGTTTGCTCTTCTCTAGAGAGAAAGTGAATTGGTGCATCAGAGGAGGGGGCTTTCAGCAGCATCCACATGTTTAGAGTGTTTAGCGTTCTCTTGCCAGTCACATGGCAGTGTGCACTCATCTGTAAAATAGAAATTAAAGAAATTGTTGTGAGGTTTAAAGGAGATTAGCAGGAAAGCACTTAACCCAGGGTCCTAAACATGGTAGCTTCACGGTTGTATTTTTTTCTCTGTAGTTTCCCTCTCCATTCAGTTGACTATTAAAGAAGTTGTGATAACACACGACCTTGTCCAAGCAGCATTTGAATAAGAATTGTGCCAGGGTCTCTCACTGTACTGTTGAAAGGAGATGGGAATATAGCAACCTAGCATCTCTTCCCTACCCCCCTTCATTTTGAAAGCCTTTTCTGTTGTTACTGAATAATCCCACCCTCTAGTTTCTAGTTCTTTTAATTGATTACTAAACCTAAGGATAGAAAGGAAACCATGTCAAGAGGGGGAATCCTGCTGAGGATTTCAGAACTTGAACAAGCAAAAAGACTAACGAGGAATCACCACTTGGCCAAGTGTATTCATCTAAATACACAAGGTCACCTGAAAAATGGCTGTCATTCAGTAGTCCTCTGTCTCTCTGCCAAAGAAGCGGCAGTGTGATGGGGCTCCTCTCCATTGGACTGTTGAAAGAGGGATCCAAACCAAGATCCCTCATGGAGCAGGACTAAGATTTTTGTTGTCATCTCAGCTGGAATCACAACTGACCTCTAAGTGTATTCAGTGTGTTACATGACACCTTCTGTTCTGTTCTCCCTAACAGTTTCAGTGCAGAGGGCAGGCACACCTTCAGTGTTTTATTCAGAAATAGGACAGGGAGGAGGGAAGGTGGGGTGAATTTACAGTGGATTTTCGAATTAGTATTCATGTTTATCATAACGTCTCTTTTGATCTAAAGTAGAAAAACAATTTTATTAGCATTAACTGTTTAGAGTCTGAAATGTGTGATCTGTTTTCATGAGTGTGTTTCCAACACATCAGTAAATTCTCTCCTTTGAGACTAACCTAATTATTCTGATATGCATACCTAAACCAAAAGTAGGACACTAAACTCATAAGACTGTTAGTGGCTACATTTACTCTGATCCCAACATTTCATAAAAGAAAGCTTTTAGCTCTATACTGAGTGGAGGGTTTTTATGAAAAGAAAAAAAAAAGAAGTAAATTTGATCTGTTTCAATGAAAGAAATATTATCAGCAGGTATTTAGAAATAATCATCCAAATTATTTCATATGACTCAAGTTTGGGGGAATTATGTCATATAATCTGGTTTTTCTATCAAAAGAAAGCAATTATAACCTGCTTCCCTCATGACAATGACTTTCCTGGCCTTTGTAGAAAAAGTTTGTATTCAAATGGAAGGAAATAGCCAGGCTATGATGTATTAAATAGCCATGTGTGGAGCTTAGCAGTAAGAACACACACCACTCTGTGGTAGAAGACCCAGGTTTGGTTCCCAGCATCCATGGGATGACTCACAACTACCTGTCACTGTCGTTCCAGGGGATCTGATGCCCTCTTCTGGCCTCTGTGGGCTCCTGCACTCATACAGGCACACACATGCGCATAAATGAAAGATGAATAATAATAGCCATATATTATTGTGCTATGTACTACATAATCCATTCTATATCGAGTCAGATATGGCAGTAAAACATTCTATTTGTTAACTATTATTTTATTTTTCAATAATCAATACTACAAATAAAGATCATTTTAATTCTTTATGAGTGGTGGTGCATACCTTTAATCCCGGCACTCCAGAGGCAGAGGCAGGTGGATCTCTGTGATTTCAAGGCCTGCCTGGTCTACATAGTGAGTTCCAGGCCGGCTGGAGTTATAGGTAGATCCTGTCTCTAAAAAGACCAAAAAAAAAAAAGAGAGAAAGAGATAATAGCCTTATATATTTAATTTTTATTTTATAGTGCTGGGGATTGAGTTTGGGTTCTCGTGCATGCTAGCCAAGTATTCTACCACTGAACTACATCCTCAGCCTGATACTATTATCAGGCTTTGAATAAAAATTTTAGGTGCTTGGGGCTGGAGAGATGGCTCAGCAGTTAGGAGCGCTGACTGTTCCTGCAGGGGACCCGGGTTTGATTCCCAACACCCACATGGTGGCTAAGAACCATCCTTAACTCCAGTTCCAAGGGAATCCAAAGCCCTCTTCTGACCTCCACGGCATTGCACGACATGGGTACACTCACTTACATGCAGGCAGTACACTCATACACATAAAGTAAAAATAATAAATAAATTTTTTAAAAATTTTAGGTGCCTACCTCTCAACATTTTGTGGGGTTATCAGGGGGTCACAGGATCTGTATTTGAGTGTGAATTTTATGGCACAGTTGTAAATGTGGCATGCCCACTCTTCTGTAAATAAACCTATGCTCTGTTAAAAAATAATAATAATAAATAAAATGTTAGAAATTTTAGGTGCATTCATCATGGTGGTATGGCTTCTGTTTTATTTTGTGTCAGTGAGCCATCTGAAAGCCACATTTTAGTGTTTAATGTCCCTACATTGCACAGTACTTAACATTTTCATTCATCATCCAGGTTGTTAACTTGGAAGAAAACCAGTAGAGTAAATGCTGCTTTTATTTTCACTCACCTCTGCAAACTCAGCTCACTCAAATGATGGAGGAAACACTAATTGAGTGGTTCCTGGGGTTTGTGAAATATGTAGACAGTAACAAAGAACGTCAACACTGACTGTAGACATCCACACTAGACTATGCAACCTGTAACCCAGGAAGACCAAGGAGTTAAAGAGTGTAAAGACTTGCTGAGGGTCAACATCACCATTTCCATGGCCACAGGACACTGATTCCATTTAAAATATAAGCCCTCAGCCAGGCGTGGTGGCGCACGCCTTTAATCCCAGCTCTTGGGAGGCAGAGGCAGGTGAATCTCTGTGAGTTTGTGGCCAGCCTGGTCTACATAGTGAGTTCCAAGTCAACTGGGGCTACAGGGAGACCCTGTCTCAAAAAAGATCAAAAAATAAATAATAAAATAAAATTAAAATAAGCCCTGATACACAGTGGTGAGGGGTATGAAAAGGGTATCACTAAACATTCAAGGCTGAAACAATTTTATAAAGTAAAGCAGTTAGGGTAAGCTTAAATTTAAGTTTAGAAGGACTCTCAGTCAATGGAATATATAAATAGTAAAACAGTTTTTTATCTAAATTTAACATGACTGTGGGGGTCCAAGCTGTCTCTGTACTCTAGGTTGCCATGTAAAACCATATTTCATACTTAGAACATAAAAGAACTAGGTAGTTTATTGCAGGGGCAGTGTATCTGGCAATAGCCTGCAACTCAGTGCCAACCAAGTCACATTTTAGTTAAACATGGAAAGTTGGGGACATTCATTACAAATATGAGACACACTATGGAGAAGCACTGGAGACATGGTAACCAGTGCTGCAGGCGACATTGCTGAGTATAACACTCAGACCCAGATAAAATGCAAGCTGGTGCAAATTACATACTCTGAAATGCATCCACACTTTTCTTTGTGGACCTGTCAGTTCACAAAGGGTACAGAACATCAAGGAGATACTTTGCAGGCAAGGTAAGAAAGTTCTCCACACTTGGTCCGGTCAAGATAAGGAAGGGGGTGCTGGAGGGATGGCTTGGAAGTTAAGAGTGCTTGCTGCACCTCGAGTTTGATTCTTAGCACCTGTGTTGAGTGACTCACAACTGACTGACTGTAACTCTAGCCCCAGGATATCCGTTCCCCCTTCTGGCTTCTGGCAGGCATACATATGCACATGCCCACACAGAGACACACGTACAGACATACAAATAATAAGTGATAACAGTAAAATATTTTTAAAGACAAGAAAGAGGCTCTGGCAAACTTGGAGACTTACCTGACAATGTCTCAGCTGATGGCCAGCGTGGCTGGTTTTAAGATTTTCCCTGTGGTTCTCTCTCCAGGGCACCTGGATGATGATGGATTACCGCATGGTTTCTGCACTGTCACCTACTCCTCCACAGACAGATTTGAGGGCAACTTCGTTCATGGAGAAAAGAATGGACGAGGGAAGTTCTTCTTCTTTGATGGCAGGTACCACTCACTGTTCTGTTTTGTTTAGGGGTGAGGGGGTGCCCAGATATTTCTAATGAAAAAATGATACAAATGAAAAAATTCAATTATGAGCTTGTATGTACCTCACACAAAAGGTAAGAGTAACCCCAACATGTATGTACTGCTGGGGTGACCAGGATATGGCAAGTGGTTGCTATGGGGAAGCCAACCTGAGGTATGCTGAGCCCAATGGTGCTCTGCTAAGCCAGATTTAGGGGCCTGCATCTTGCACAAGTTCCTTTCATGGTCACCCAGTTCTTGTGTGGGTCTCACCTGATCATTCAAGAACTGCAATGTAGGTCAATGAAGTTATGCAAGGGGAGGGGTCATTTTCTGATGACTAGTTGGTACAGTCCCTTTAGTGACCGATTGGCACTTTTTCCCAAGCATAAGATATGCGCCATTGCATTTACATTGTCCCCAGCCCCCCCTCCGCATTTTTAAAGCAGAGCTTTGCTTATGAATCTGAACTTTAAGTTGGCCATATGTTTTTCTTCCTCTCTTTGACCTGCCTAGAATACCAGTTAGAAGAGTGCTGAGGAGTTGGCTCTGTAGGTAAAAGCACTTGCCAACCAAGTATGAGGACCTGAGTTCAAGTCCCCAGAATCCATGTAAAATCCAGGTTTAGTAGTGCATGTCTGTAATCCCAGTGGTTCTGTGATGAAATGGAAGACAGAGACAAGAGAATCCCAGAAGCTTGCAGGCCAGCTAGCCTGGTACTCACAGCTGCCAACAACAGAGACCCTTTCTTAAACAAGTGGAAGGCAAAAACTGATACCTAAGATTGTCCTCTGACCTCCACATGTGCACCATGGCATGTATACACCCACAATCACACACATAAATGTGTTACATACCAACATATACACACAAAAATAGAATACCTGCTAGATACCTGGTTCCCCAAGAGGCCTCTTTCAAGGTGTTGGCATCTGCGCCCCTCTTTCAGAATCTCTTTAACCTGCCTAGAGGGTAACTCTCCTGCCCTGTTTCCAGGGCAGTTTAATTATAGCATTTTTTCCCTGGAAAATGTCAATTTTTACTTCATGCTATAATTGTTCTTTTATGAGTAAATATAATATGCATATTTCAACAATGCATGTTTATGTACACACACACTTTTTAAGTTAGCATGCATAGTAATGGGTTTCGTTATGGCATTTTTATATATGTTACGGATAGAATCCAGGGTCTTGTGCATGCAGTGTAAGCCCTCTACCTTTGAACAGCCTCTGTCCACACCCTTTTTAAAGGACAAAAGAAAGTTATCCAAGTTTAACTAATTGGAACTTAGCTTAAGAAACTGGGACTTCTTATTCACCAGTCCTGAGATAAAGACAGGTATGCAGTGAATGAGCAGGATCTTGAGGCTCTGTTGGTACCATATAATCTGGCGCCTGATCAAAGATTTGTGCAAAACTGAGGCTATATGGAAATGTTTGTTTGGTACTCAGAATACTTTGGTATCTACCTCTCTGATGTTGATTGTAAACTCTAATCTGGGTGTTTAATGTATTCTATCATAACAGTACTCAGGTTCATCAAGATTTATAGACCTACAGGCAGGACTTGTCACTCTTTTAGAATTGGGAGAAGAAAACAAAACAGACATTCTCTATATAACTTGACTTTCTATTAGTTTATTAGACTACCTAATAATAGGCAGTCATATGGTTTTTTAGCCTGAAGTAAAGGTGAGGTAATTTACTCATATATATGAATTTTTTCAGTACTGGGGACTGAACCCAGGGCCTCTTGCATGCTAGACAAGTCTTCTACCAGTCAGCTTTATCTCCAACTTTTAAATGCTGTTTTGAGGCATTCTTCCAAGCTGCCGGGCTGGCCTCAACCTTGCACTATACCCAGAGTATAAGTGTATATGCCAGTGCTTCTCCTGAATATGCCAGTTTCAAAGTATTGACTACCATGTGCCTTTGTTCCCTGCACCCACGGCATTTTCTTTTGTATGTGTACATGTTAGTGTTATTTATTCATTTTGTGGGGGTGGAGTGTGCCACAACACATATGTGGAAGTCAGAAGACAGCTTTCATGAGTTGGTTCTCTCCTTCTACTGTAAGGGTTCCAGGAATGGAATTCAGGTCATCAGGCTTGGTGATAAGCACCTGCTGAGTCATTTTGCTGGTCCCATCTTGGATTTTTTTGTTGTTTTTTGGGGGGGGAGGGGGGTAGTTAGTTAGTTAGTTAGTTAGTTAGTTAGTTAGTTAATTGTTAGTTTGTTTGTTTTGAGACAGGGTCTTCCACTGGCCTAAAACTCACCAAGTAGACTAGGCTGGCTGGCCATTGAACCTGAGAGAATCTGCCTGTCTTTACCTTCCTTATAATCAACACTGGGATTATAAGTGCATACCACACACCTAACTTTTTTTGAGTGAATTCTGGGGTCCTTATGCTTGCAAGCAAGCTGTTTACCAGCTCAGCTATCATCCCAGCCCCTCAAGTCATTTTCTGAAGTGATGTGTCTAGCTAAGAAGGCTTCTTGTGGTTTATCACATGGCTGAGGAGGCACCGAGGAGTCTGACATTTTCCAGGTGACAAGTCTTGCAGAATTTTTTCTTCTAGGTTTTCAGAAAGTGCTTGATCACATTTCAGAGAAACTGGAGTGGAAATGAACTTCTGAAACCATACAGCCCAGCCTCCTACACGAGGCAAACAATTTTATGATATGAAAGCATAGGAGTGGGAAAGAATTGAGCAACTTTAAATATCCACCAGTTGTTCAACACTGAACACATTGCCTTCCTGACAATCTTCAAAGCTAATTTCATAATCCCATTTTATTTATGAAGAAACTAAGGCACAGAAAGACTTAATAACTTGCCCAAAGTTGCCTAGTTAGTAAGAGTTAAAGTTGAGGTGGATTCACTTCTACATTTGTTCCTTCCTTTGGCTTTGTTGATGCAGGGTCTCACATAGCCCAGCCTGGTATGGAACTCACTATGTGTCTGAGGATGACCTTGAACTCCTGATCCTCCGGTTTCCACCTCCCAAGTGCTCCACCAACTGAATTCACTTTTAGAGCTGGCCCTCTTTTCACTTCATCTCCTACCTCCTCCTGACCAAAGCAAGGAGGTAGTGTGGGCTCTGCTTTCTTCCATGCTTTCTTTCATTCTCTTTGAAGTCACTGTTAGCTGTGGAAATTTCCAAGGAGTGTGGGGTAAACTTAGCTTCTTTTCTGTAGGTGCATTAGCGCTTGATAGGAGCCTGGCAGATTGATGAAAGGTTTTCCTGAGGCGAGTCCTCTTCTTTGTTAGTTGGTCTTCCCAAACTTCTGTTTTCTCATTTATAGGGTGGACATAAATATACCTACTTCTCAAAGTTGGGATTGAATGAGAAAAAGACCTCAGAAGGTATAGCATGCTAAGCAGGTGCCAGGGAAATGGGTGGATGAGATGGTGACTGATCTTTTATCAAAACTGCTGTTACTATAGTATTAGTGGGAACAGTGGCTGGGAAAAGGCTGTGTGGGGAAAAGCATCAAAGTGTCTGGTGTCTGGGTGTCCTGCACCCTCATACAACAATCAGTATACTCAAAGGTTGTGGGACTTTCCCCATCAACAAGCACGCAAGTTAGCACCAGACACTTGGGTCACCCACTCCAGTCCAGTTCTGACACCAGACCCCCAGGAGAGGGCTTCTGCCCCCCAGAATGCACCACATACAACCAGAAGCTCAGAACAGACCATTTTACCTGAGCTGCTTCTATTTTCTTAGATTTATTTTATTTTAAATTTTATATATATGTACATCCTGTCTGTATGGGGATATGTGCACATAAGTGCAGGAGTCTGTGGAGGCCAGAAGAGGATTTCGAATCCCCTGGAACTGGAGTTATAGGCTGTTGTAAGCCACCTAACGTAGGTGCTGAGAACTGAACCTGGGTCCTCTGGGAGAACAGTGCTTCCTCTTAACACTGAGCCATCTCTCCAGCCCCTTACCTGTGCTTCTGATTGACCAGCTGTAAGTTGGGGTTGGTAAATTTTCTTGAGCAGCCCATAGAGCCCAAGGAAGCAGACGCATACGACAAGGTCTGGGAGAAAGAGCTTAGCCCTCCTGTGCCCTCTCTGCATGTCCAAGACTCCTTGTGTTCAGTTCTCTAGACACTCTGAACTTTGTTCCTTTGGGTTCTTTTAGAACTCCCATTGCATAGGCTTGCCTGCTAATACCTAGGTGGGAAAATCCAGATGGGCTTATTTTTTTTAGATTCTTTTTGGACTCTGTGTAACATTCTTCCCTTCAGTGTATAGCAAAACCTTTCTTGAATGAGGAGGGTCTAATGATCTACTATCACACATAATAGGTCAGATAATTTCTTATGGCCAGCTCTAAACAAAAAGCTGGGAGGTTTGTGTTTCTATGGCCTGCTTTGAGGAGGAGAATTTCTGGTTTCTGTCACTTGCCCTAGGGAAGGAATTATGAGTCAAGAAACATAATTAAAAAACAAAACATAGGGTGGGTTTGGACCTCCATCGGTATAGCGGCTCGGATCTCAGCAGACCGCCAGAGAGTGCCTAGTTCTGGTCTCCCTCTGGCCCCTATCTAGCAGATGGCCTGAGAACCTAAGGGACTGCCTGAGAGCCCCAGATCCTGCTTCCACCTGGTGAAGCCTTTGAGAGGGAACTGACACTGATTCTAACCACTCCAACAGCTATCAAAATACCTGAAAGCAAAACCTGAGTCCATCACTCTCAGG